TCAGATATTAGGATATAAATGTTTGGCCTTTCTCAAGCAAAACATGAACTGCTTAAGGCAGGCAGGAGTAACACAAGATTAGAGTAATTGCCCAGAGATGAAAAATGAAATGTTAAACACACCTTATTGGCCATCTGTGCTTGAGCCACACAATGCTTGAGCCACAAGAGGACTAATGTTACCATCTGCCCTCTAGGGTCCCATAGGCTAGCAAGAAAGACAAAGAAGTAGGCCTCTAAAAACATGACGTAGCAGGTAAAGTTCTATGACCCAAGACCCGAAATAAGGACCGAGAGGTCGTCCTGTATGAGGTGTGGAGTAAGACGAGTTCAGCTTCTACAATCATAGAAGCAGGTGACTCTCGTGCAGTCACCGACACAGAGTTGGGGGCGTCCCAGGTAAGGACTGAGCCTGAGCAGAGGCACAAAAGCACCTGGCATATTTGAGAGATGGCAAGAGGTGCTGGTCAATTCCATTCATTCCCTGAACCACCATTTATGGGACACCTTTAGCCAGGTGCAGCCCTAGGTATGGGGATTACAAAGGTGAAGAAAACCTGTTCTTGTTCTTCTTCATGGTAAGTACATAACAGAGGTGTGAACAGACAGCTCCAAGAAGGAAGCAATTCACTCAGCCTAATTTTACAGAGAGATCTGGAGTAACTGCCACAGAAACTTCTGATCGTCCTGTGGGAACTTGGTTTCAAAGCTTGAGCACAAGTTTACCAAGTGGAATAGTGAGGGGCCGGGCATTAGGGATCTACTCTAAGGAAGTGAACAAATATCTGCACGTAATTTACATCAGTATAATTGTGCTCAAGAGATGCTTTTGTCTTATGGGTTACAAGCATCACTGGTTTTATAAGACTGAAAATTCTACACTAGCGCTCCCTGGCTGTTTAGAATCTGAGTAGCCAAGACCTTCCTGTGCCAGCCTTGAATCAGTTAAAGGCCAATACTGGTAGATTAAAATTTGCTCATTTGTACTCTACACTTTGTGTAGACTACATGAATGATCTTCCCCATGTCTGGCTGCATCTGATTGGTAAAACTACACTATTCTTTGCTTCTAGTTTAGGCTGTCAAAAGGAGGAATGCTGAAACACAGCTAATCTCTGTATTTATATGTAACTTGCTTCAGAAGTTCATCCTTAGCTAAATGGGAATTCTGAATGTATCTACTAAATGGGAGATTTCACACTATTCAAGATAGGTATTTTTAAACTATTAGATTCAGATTGTAGGTAACTTCAAAATTTTGTTTCAAATGTCCAGAGAGAATCTATGTGAGCACATGCACTAATGGGCCAGGGAAATCTAGCCAGCAGTGTTGACCCTTGGTTTTTTACAGGCCAGATTTAGGGGATTTTGTTCTCTGTGACTGCAACTGGGTGATGGCTAAACATTTCCACAGTTGTCCTCTTCCTTCTCACTTATTAGTCACTTAAATGACAGCCATTCTGTCTAAAAGGCCATGGTTGATCAAAAGAGAATTCAGACATTTTAGAAAGTGACTTATGTACCAGACTACGTTTTTTAAAAAAGTGTTCAAGTACATGAAAATATTTGAAAATATTACCCCGAGTGATCCTAGCGTGCTTCACAGGTAATCAGAGAAGAACTCTACAGAGGTGCACTGTGGTGCCAGTCCAACATCCCCTTGCAACTTGTTAGAAATGCAAATTCACAGGCCCTATGCTAGGCCTACTGAATCAAAAACTCTGTCTGTGGGCCTTTTGATCTGTGTTTTAACATACCTGGGCGAGCAACTGTGAGACACACCGAAGTTTAATTCTAGAGAAACAGGAAACAAAATTAGATAGGGATATACTAGGGACTTGTAGTACCAGGAATGTGAGTCCCTGGCAAACAAATCAGCCACTCACCTACATCATAGGAAGTTCTAAAGTTTACAAGGGAGGAAGGGATCATTACCTCAGGAAGACAAACCGAGAAAATTAGAATAGGGCTGACCACAAATGAAGTGGCAGCTGTAGAAGTGGGAAGGAAGCTGTACCATCAGTGGAAGATTAATTTGCTACAGAGATTTCAATCGGGGGGTTATTCAGTCATGGTCTCAAAGCCTCTAAAACTGTAAAGTCAAGAAAAGCTGATTTACAGGTATAAGGAAGGATATGCATCCATAAAAGGTCAGCTCAAATACATTTATAGAAAAAGTAGAGAAAAGGCTAAGTGGAGGCTTTGAATAATCATCCAAAAGGGGCTGACCCACCAAGATTCCTAAATCCATTAGAATGTTTGACATGAGTAAACTTGGTTACCTGCAGGAAGAAGGTGAGGTAAGTATCTATGGTATCATGAATGAATTACTGATTACATTATAATCTAATTGTGAATTTATTCCATGGGTCATACTAGGCTGTTCTTCCTCAGCTGAATATGTAAAGCGTAGTGTTTCTATAACGGAAGGTATTTCATAGCAGCAGCCAAAAAAACACAGTATCTTGATTTGAAAGGGAAACTGCTATGTCTTGCAGAAGAAAATATTACCACTTTAAAACTGAACCTAGACAAGTCACCCTCGTTTTAGGTTCTCAGGATATTTTATACCAAAAATTAGTCTACGATAAAATAAAACTATAAGGAAATAGGTCTGATTCCTTCTACTACTACACCCTAATTCCTCTCTGATTTTAGGAAATCTAGGAGCAGGACTTGTAGATGACAACTGAATATATAGTCCATATAGAGTTACCTTATTTGACTTAAACTCCCAGCATCAAATACAGAGCTGGAACTAATGGGCTTAAGAAAACTGTTAATGTAGAGAATTAAATGTGCCCTAAAATACCAAGAGCAGAGCTAGATACCCACCAACATGAGACCTGATTTAGTTTGGCAGCCACATGAATAGTAACAAACCCTTATTTTTTGTTTTGAAAGCACTTTTTTACTTGACCAGTCTCAGGAAATGGTCTTTCCTGACCTTAAGTAATCCTTGGTGTTTGTGGGTGGCAAGGAAGAGTTACCACTGAGTGCCTGAGGATTATTTAGTCACTCGGAGATGTGAAGACAGTCCATCTTCCTAGACATGATAGCTAATTTTTTTCTCTCAAACCCAAACTACTCAGGAATCATTGGAGAAAAGGGATCAGGCACCTGCCCCCCAAAGGCCATAGGCATAACCCCGCTGAAACCTGGAAATCTCAACCCTGCTTCCCTTGATCATGTGGTGTTGGGTGTGTTACTATCCTACGAAGCCACCATTTTCCAATGAGCCTTTACATCATTTGAAAATGGATTTAGGAAACAAGAATCCCGTGCTTTGTTTCTTTATGAAACAAACAGCAAGCCACACTTCTGAACATCACATTGCATGACTAGGGCACAGAATTTCCCGTGCTGCCTAGGAAGAGGTCCTTTTTGAAGTTCTATGTGTTTGATTTACTGACGGTACACTATTTGTAGAAAGTAGGTTTCAGTATAAACCATAACCACAGAAGTAAATCTATGGTTCAGTATATGATTTGACGTACAGGAAGTGTCTGGGTCTAATGATGAAACTTTTTAACTTTCCAGATGACAGAACAAAGGAAGCAGAAACAAAGAATTGGTCTTCTAGGACATCCTCCTCACATGAATGTCAACCCACAGCAACCAGCATAAGCAAATGAAATAAAGGAATTCTATTTACCTTTTCAAATTACTGTTGGTGTGGGCATGGCTAATTAATTCTGATTCACCCACAAAAGTTATATTTCTGCTTAGTACAGTTGTAAATACTGAGTTTTATACTGTATGTATATGATTGCTACTCTAAAGGTTTGGATATATGTATTGTAATTAGAATTGTTGGCATGATGAAATTTCATTTGTGCCAAAAATATTAAAAATGCCTTTTTTGGAAGGACTGAGGAAAGCACCTGATTTGCACTTGAACCAGATTATAGATTTAAAAGTATATGACATGTATTTTGTATTTAAAACTAGAATAGCTAGTATTTATGTTTTTTATAAAACTGTGCAATACGAATTATGCAATCACAAAAAATTTGTAACCCCTGAGTATCCTACAGGGAGCGCACATCTTTGAAGCTGGTGTGTTAATAGTATGTAATAAATGGTTAAATATCAAATGATGCTGCTGCCAAAAATCATATTAATAGTGAGTTTCAGGCCCCTGGGCATTTTGTACCATGTAATTATCCTGTGGTGATACTGTTTCTCGTTGCTAGTGGCTTTAGCCTCTGTCTTATAGTGACAGTGCTCCAAGTCTATGGCCTGTCAAGTCAGCATTCATTTTAAGACAAACAACTTCAGTTTCAAAGATACTTTTAAGCTTCTAAATTCATCATTTAGACTATTTCTTTAAATAAGGGAGCTAAATTAGAAGCTCAGACTTTATCTTGTGAGGTTAATGAATTTTTAAAGGGAACTTTTTATGCAATGTTTGGACAAACGCACATTGCTGGCCAATCAATGTCATCTCCCAGGTGAATTTTGGTTATAAAGAAATAAATAAATGATGGTCTCGATTATCTAGTCCAAACAGTAGAGTTGATTTTTTTTCATCTGAACCAAACATGCTACAGTAGCTAAGAAGTATTAAACTATACACATCCATATAAAAATACAACATGATCTATCCCAGTAGAACTCATAGCTGAACACTGACATATTACTCTTGCAAAAGAGCCACGTTTTGGTTTTATTTCTATGTTACAATTTCTTGATGGATGAAAAGTATGAAAGGAAACTTTTATATCTGTTGCCTAGTTTTGTACATGGATCTCATTTTACAAGAGACTCTCTGCAAAAAAGTTTAAAAATGTATTGAAAGCAGAGTTCTGAAATGAGTAGTTTGTAAATGCATATATAAAAATATTTAATAAATGATGCAGAATAATATACAGTGACCGACTCGTGGCCTTCATTTTGGCATGTCTTTGTGTCTTAAGAGCTATCGCAAATACATAGTTTCCTTAGGACCACTTCAAAGGACAACTGGTTGATCACCAGATCAATGCAGGAAATGCTCACCTGATCACTAACCCTGAGGAGCTCTACTTGAACAAGTATTCAGGGAGTGTTTAGTACAATGTTCATTGGCTCTTCCAGACGAGGGGCTGCCAGCAGCTGGTCACGAGCACTACAGCGACCATCGTAAAGTCGGGGGAGCTCTGCCAAGGCTCCCGCCTCCTGGGCTTTCCATCTGCAACATGGAAGAGCCACAAACAGTTGAAATTTGTTTTTGTCCCTGGCTAGTGGTCAGAGTCCTTCTGCAAGACAACCTTGTTCCTTCCTCAAAGCAATACACACCCAGGCTGCTCTTCTACCACTGATTTTCTCTGGGCTTTAGTAAAGAAGAATAACTACCACCCAATGTTGGGAAGTAGGTCAGGATTAAATTCCAGTTAAATGACTATAAATTTGATAACTTGAAAAAACAAATGAATAATTTTCCAGTCAGTACAGCCTATCTCCACAGAATTTTTCCATGATAAGGAAAGCCCAAGATACACACTTGTATCTATAAACAAAAGCCATCCGTGCTGACCCCACCACATGAGCTCCAGCCGGCAAGGATCTGCTCTTGCTCGGGTTTCCCTTTGATCTCCAGGCTGCCTGGCAGGACGTGTGGGTGGCTCATCTTCCAAGTCCCATCCCGTTCACTGAAAAGCTCTGCATTGACATGTCCAGGTTGCAACTTTTACAGGTTTCTCATGTTTCATTTGAATCCTGTCACTTACGATATACATCTTCATTCAATTTGCCAGCTTCAGCAGAAAAGTAACTTGGAATGGCACTCCACCCTACATGTGGTACATCCTACCCTAGGAGTTTGGGCGTGAACACAAAGCTCGTATAATTGAAACATAAAAGTTTGTGCAGTTAAAACTCCTGCGGCCTTTGATGTGTGTGATTGTGATGTCACCTTTCTCCAGACACTGCTTTTTTCAACACCTCTTCCAAGGACTGAGGTCCAAGTCCCTTTCAAAGTTACTTAACCAGATAAAGAATCAGTGTTCGTAGGCTGAGTAACAATATGGTAGTATAGTGCTAACATGCAAGAAAAGTTTTTGCTTTATTTAAAAGTTTGCTCTAGTAACAATTCAAATTTCAAGATTTTGTCCATTTCTTTATTCACTAAACCACTTGTTAAAGGATCTGAGAGATTTCATTCCACTTTAACATTTATAATACCTTGCCCTGTCCCTAAAATTGTGTAGTGAAAAGTATTTTTCCCTATAAGTAAAGTTTCTACTCTTTTTCTGCTGGGTTCTAAAGCTTGACATTATACTCTACCCTGCACAGGTTTTCTTAGACTGTATCTGTCTCTACATCCCCGAAACACATACAAAACCCTTCTTTTATTTCATTCTTTAAATATTTGATTCAACCTACATGGTTTGTTTCCAATTTCATGTTCCTTATTCATTGTTTCTTCATTCACCCAGTTTCTTTAGTTGGTTGTACTTTCTGAAAATGAACTGATTGATTTTGGTTCTTCAAAAACTGCTCTTTCACCCTGTTTAAGTATTTCCTAGCATAAATTACAGAGCAAGCATACGTTATGTGTGGACGCTAACCAGCAGTTCAGTGTTTGCACTAGCAAACTAAACAAAGCTTTACTTAGGTGCAAGTGGGAAATTATGATGACCTTTACAATACACTAAGGAATTAAACCACTCAAAAGTCAACTCTAGATTTCTGTATCCTCCTACTGTGGATGGCTTTGATAATGTATTAATGAGAATTGGCCTGAAAGTGTCTGATAATCACTTTAAGGCTAATCATGAGAACACTGGTCTGACTTATACTCTGCATAGTCCTTCAAAAATATTAAATACAAAAGGCCTAACTACATACTCACAGACATACACGAGGTTATTGCTAAAATAATGTTTTTACAGATTTTTTAAGGTGAAATATGGGCTTCACAGAAAGCTTAAGTTATGTAACAATAAAAGTCCCCTTTATGTAAGACAGGATATAGTAACAAAGGACTCCTACTGAACTCTCCCTAGACAATATGCTCTATATCCCAGACCACAGAGCAGGAGCAACAAGATATCTTATTTAAAGAAAAGAACTTAAACCTTAAGAGAGGTAAAAGTAACTTGCCCAAGGACTCAGTTCCAAAATAAAAAGAGGTCTCCTGGCTTAGCCAAATACAGGCAGAGCTCTTCCCACTTGCGATCTTTTCAAAATAGGGTGGCAGTGCCTTAGCAGAGGCCACTTCCCCAGCAGTTCTCCCTCTACAGAAAGCTCTCAGCAGAGTTGTATTGTGTGCTGTAACACAAATGATTTGCTTTCTTTTCAAATCTTTCACAAGCAGATCCACAAATTGGAAAGTATTGAATGTTGATACTTTGTCAAGACTGAAAACTTTGTGGCAAAGATAAGAAGCTCCTAAAATCTCGGTCTTCTACAACTACAAGTCACACATAAATACCTCTTAACTGACTTTTTCACAGGGACAATCTGTTCTCATTCCAGGACGCTTTCTCCAAGTGAAAATATTCAGATACAGAATATGGTGTCCTATCCTACTGCAAGAACAGATGTTTATTAGCAAACTCTGCTTTGCTGTTCTTATGCTGATAATTTGTTAACAGTCAACTAGAATGTTGGAAAACCCCCATAAAGATTTCGATTTTACAGAAAGTACCCAAAATTCCACCAGTTTTGCATCACAAAGTAGTGGTTAAAGTAAAGCTTTGAGTAAAATGCCATGTGTGTGGTTTTTGTGGGTGGCTGTGGCTCAGAGTGACTATTAGGCCTCATCAGCTGCCTACAGGGAGAGCTAGGATGGCAATTATAACTGAAGACGATTCTGATCGTCGTAATAAACATTTTTCCATCTTTGGTACTGGATGCCACACTTAGCAATGCATGCAACCTAAAGGCTGATTTAGAAGCATAACTAGCTTTCAAGTCTGGACCCCAAAGCCCACCAAAATGAAGCAAAGAAAAAGGCAGACCTCCAGCGCCTGGTCACCCGCGGCAGTGCTAAGGGACCACAGACTCTCCCAGTGCTGGAACTCTCACCTCATTCGGTGACACAAATCTCTGGCTTAACTAGGGTACTGCATGAAAAATAAAAAATTACCAAAGGAGAAACTTATGATACTTTAAGGTCATGACAAACTGGTGTGAAAGAGAATCCTAACACCTAGAAGTGAAACTGCATCATCCCCTCCCAGGCCTGGAAAGAAAAAAAGAGAGCTACAAACCACTGTAGAATAAGAATCAGAGTTTGAGAAAACCCCTAAGGTGAATTCTGAAAAACAGAAAAAAGAGTCCGCGGCATAAGTGCATGCTGTGTGCAAGACCTGCTGGCGGAAAGGGTTTGCCAGCATCTCTGTGATGACCTCACAGGAGATGGCTGGTCCCATGTAAAGAATGGAACATAAGGCAATGCAGGAATGTAACCTGTTCACTATGCGACTTCAGCCAGTTACTTCATCCTTTTTGCACCTATTTTTCTCCAAGTATCTCCAAAGGTCTTATTGGAAGCTTTCTGTACAAGTGCTTTTGAAGAAAAATTCTAAAGATGTGGTATGAGATTAGGACAAGGACTCTGGAAACACACAAGATTTGGGGGGCTCGGTATCAGTTTACTTAAGAGCCCACATGGCAGCAGGGTGGGATGAGAGGAACACAGACCTTGAAATCTGTGAGAATTTCCAGACCAGACCTTCCACTTCAATGCTGTGATTCTGAGTGAGCTCCTGAATCACTGTCATTTGCACCCCCTGCCTAAAGAGTGGAACGTACTTCTTTGGGCACTAATGAGCATCAGAACAGACCGTGTGCCACAAGTGCCTAGTAGCTACCCAACAATGCGCTATTTGCCATTCCTTTGCGAAAAGAGTCCCTTCCTTTTTCTCATAGCTATTAACAATCTCAGCTAAGTATCGCGTGACCAAAGCTGCTTTCTCTTTCTGTCAAACGGGCCTAATGTTATTACCACAGGATCCTAAATCCTTGTGGGGTTTTTTTTGGCATTTTTTAATTTTTATTTTGGTATCATTAATATACAGTTACATGAGCAACATTATGAGTACTAGACTGCCCCCATCATCAAGTCTAAATCCTTGTGTTTTAACATGACACGTTTGGGCTATAGCAAGTCATTTTTTAAACTATTTTTTCACATCGAAATTATGTTTTATCAGTAAGGACTGAATTAATAAAGAAAAATAACTATCATACAGCTCATGACTTCCATGCAGTTACTCTCCTAATCTGTTGAATTCAAATCTGACTTTTCAAGAACATCTTCCTTGAAAGACATTTCCTCTTAGGGACGGATGATGATCTATTTCCTTAGTTTACAAAGTATTTTCACCTCTATTCTCCTCCTCAATAATTTCAAGGGTCTTAAGCAGGTTACAACTTCCTAATGATCCCTTGTCACTTGTGATCCTAAATCCTGTGGCAACCCAATTCTCATCATCTCCCCTCTCCCTATTCCACGACACCCTAGTGTCCCCATCAGTATTCTCCACCCTCTGTCTCCAAAACACATCAACACCTGGGTGTTGTGAAAAGCAGAAATCTACTGGAGAGAGACTGTAGCAGTGATTAGGAATTAGTTAAAACTGTGAATCAGACCTCCGAGCTCCCTGCCCCCTCCCTTCTCTGCCACCGGAGTAGCTATCCTCATCTCTGGTCTATGCTAGGGCCCACTCTCTCACTACCCTGGTCAAATAAAAGCAAAATAAAAAATTCCCTCCAGCTTCAAGTAAAAACTAAAAATTCCTGTTTCTTTATTACACAGAGCAATTTCAGTCCCCAGGTCCTCACCACTCCCATCTCCATTAGCCCTTTGCTTTGACCAAAGGGGGGAAAAAAAAAGACTGATTCTCCTGTCCTTTCCTTCCAATTCAAGAAGCAACCAGCTTTTAAAATAGCATTCTCTTTTCTTCCTGATACATCTCTAACCTACAGAAGAAAAAAATCAGTTTAGAAAGGTGAAGTGATTTGCTAGTCTAAACATCAGACCTGAGATTCAAAAGCAGAACACCTGATCACATATACATTCTTCTTTATGCCATTGCTTCCCTCTGCCAGATGCAGTCCTGCCGATGACACCCTGGGGCCTCCACCTCTACCCTGCCACCCATCTGGGGAAGATCGGCAGATACCAGATACAGGTTCTAAGAGATACAAAGGAAAGTAAGAGGTCTGAAATGTAAGGGCTGC